TGGTTCAGCAGTTAAGAGCACTGTAGAGGTTCTCTTGTAGAGGATCTGGATTCAGTTCCCAGCACCCACATGGCGGCTAACAACTGTTTATATACATATTATTATTGAAGTGACTCTGTCTCCACTGGAAGAGAAGAGAAACCGAGGCACAAAGAGGTCAAGATGAAGGTCACAACAGCAGGCAGAATAATGCCCCAAACTTCTGAATTCCTGGAAACTGTGATTACATAAATTCACATGACAAAAGGGAGTTTGCAGATGTGATTCAATTTAGTACTTTGAGTTGGGGAGCCTTGGTTCCCTGGATTTTCCAGGTGAGCCTAAGGTCATGGAAAGAGTTTTTATGACAAAGAGGCTCAGACAGAAGGCAGTCATGAGCCAAGGAATTCAACAGCCTACAGAAACAGGAAAAGCCTAGAAAACAGCCTCTCACCTAGAGCCTCCAAAAAGGAATGCAGCCCTGCAGATACCTTGATTTCCACCCAGTGAGAGCCTCCAGAGCTGAAACTGATGTGTAAAGCTACCACATCTGTGGCAATTAGTTTCAGCAGCAACAGGGAACTTCACAGAACAATGCTGACTGAAGACAGCACCAGTCTGAGCCCCAATTGCACCCCATTCTGGGTCTGGGAGCCATCCCTTGCTACAGCATTTCTGCAGGAGTACCTCAGCTGTGCCCTGTCTGCTCTCTTGCCTCCAGAATGGAGGGGCTCACGTTAGTTACACTGCCTCAGCCCCTACCTGACAGGCAACTACAGTTTTTTGCCTGGCCTCTACCATTCATAGGGAAGTATGAAAACCAAACCAAACCAGGTGAAGGGCTCTGTTAGAGAGTGCCCACAGGAGGGGGCGAGGTAATTATATGTCATTTGTGTGTGCATGTATATGTGATAGTACATATACAAGTGTGTGCATGTGTGGAGGCCAGAGGACAGCCCTGGGTGTCACTCCTCAGGCACCATCCACTGTTTCTTTTAAAGACAGAATCTCTCACTGGCCTGGAGCTCACCAAGTAGACTAAACTGGCTGACCAGTGAGCCCCAGGGATCAGCCTGTCTCCACCTTCCCAGTGCTGGGATTATAAGTGTGGGCCACCACGTCCAGGTTTTTACATGGGTCCTGGGGATTGAACACAGGTCCCCATGCTTACCAACTGAGCCATCTCACGGGTCCTTATGTGCTATTTTTAAAGAGCAAACTTCACCTGAGCATGAGGAAGAAGAGCCATATCCCTGGAACACTCTGAAATGGGACACCATGGATAACCACACATGCCTGTAGTAGGGCTGGGTCAGAGGCCTTCCTGAAGGAGGCATTTAAGGCTAGCCAGGAGTCAGCAGCCAGTCACCCATACAGTCTTGGTGAAGCAGCATACACAGTTCCAGCCCATCTATGTACAGCCAGGATCCTTCTACCCTACTCACAACTCTCCTCAGAGTGGGAAAATGGCTTTTCTACAGAGAACACCTGTGTTGACAGGCTGATTTGGACACCCTCAAGGATGGATAGAGAGAGGAGAGGAGAGAGAAGGGGAGAGGGAGAAGGAGAAGGAGAGGGAGAGGGAGAGGGAGAGAGAGAGAGA